TTTTATTTTCCTTCCAAAGAGTTTCAGAGCCAGTAGAATCTATAAATAGTGCACAGCCTGGTTGTCTGTGGTAGATTGAGTAGAGCAGAATTGCCTGTCCTTAAGTGAAGGGGAAGTAGCTTTACATTTTTAGTAACTGAATTGTTGGCCAGCATAAAGGTAAGGGCCATGTGAGCAACTTATTTATAACTTCCCATAAAGGTATGTGTCTGCCTCAAGCAGAGAAACTGTCTGGGGTGCTTGAAATGTAAAAGTGCAGTAGAATCATTTTCCATACACAGCCTTCCTAGCTAGTTGGTGCAATAAAGTGATTGTTCGCATCCCTGGGGCTTTCAGAAAGAGGGGTGTCAATAGATTAGCTCATTAGCGTCCGCTTCCTGTGGAATGGAAGGGATGAGGCGATTAAATTCGAATCTATGGTTTTATGTAGTGAAGAATGTTTAGGTATTAACTCCTGAGGGTATGGAGGACATAAATTTAAGCTTGGTTTAACCTGTTAGGTGTGGTCCTCCTAACTGTTCTACCCATGTAGTCTAACCACAATTAGGTTCTTGTCAAAATACTTCATGGCTATGAAAGCACTTTATTTTTTCACAGGTTCAGTTCAACTGTGGTTTTTTTTTTGTTTTTTTTGTTTTTTAAGTAAAGGACATAGAATCAGACTGAATTCCCTGGTAACAGTGGGAGAAGGGAAGAAGAGTAAAACATTTTCATGGCATCCCGTAAAGAGTATGTTAAACCCTTTAGACAGATGCCAGAAAATGGAATCTCTTGTCACATGTTACAAATTTCATCGCACTTGCATCAAGAGTAAATAACGTACAGCCAGGTTTAACTCTAAGGATGAAATTTTGTAATCATAAATATGCACGTAAAAGACATTTTCAGCCCTCCTTTGTTACTCATTTATTTTCATAGACCGAGTTTTTCTGAATATTATGGTGACCATTTAAAGCATCTGCATATATGGCTAAAATGTAAACCTTGGCTTTTGTGCCAGTATTGTGGCTCTGTTTAGTATTTGGGCAAGTTGTAATAAGTGGTAAATGGCCCATTAACTATATTGGAGACCTCATAACAACATTCATTTCAAATTGTGCTGGGTTTACAATTTACATATTAAAAAATGTTCACTTGCTTTCGTTCAGGGACAAAGCTGACATCCTATATAAACATTGCTTCAAACGATCCTATTTATTGGTCCAATTATTTCAATTGAAAGATGCTGGTTTACTGCCTCTTAGTATATGTGAACAATTCTCAGCAAAACCGTTAGAGATCCTTTGACTATAGTGGCAGAAAAATCTCACAGGGTTTTGATTCACTTTTAATTTTAAGTCCCAGGATTAAGGATCATTTATTTATAGTATAATGTGACAGTGTGGGCAAATATAGCTTCTCTTAATGCCCTTCTGATATT